ATTTGTGATTACTTAAATCCTCTTGCAATTCTATTAGCCAACCAAATAAGTTGCTTTGTCCTTAAAAGCTAAAGAAATATGTTGTAAGATAGTCCGAAATTCATTTTCATAAAGAAATCTGACACAACAGCTGAATTATGGTGAGCAGATTTAAAAGTGCATGTCTTGTTTTTGTGTGATTTTTTTATCTTGAAATTTGAGCAGACGTTGCTACATCCTGCAGGAGTAACATCCTTAACTATGAGCTTAATATAACCTATCCTTTCCATTTCTTTCATTTCTTTTGGAATCCTTAGATAAACCTCTGATTTCCAAAGAACTCTCTGTGGCAAATATTATGTGCCATTGGTCCTGGTACTTATTTGGGCCAAAGATCTTGAGAAAGTTACAAGAGAACTTTCTTTATTTGTGTGTAGGGGAAGTGGGGGGAGAGTGAAAGAGAGAGGTTCATTTCTGAATAAAGCTTTGTGAAAGAGAAGTTATTCCTTGTAACTTATGACAAAAGATAAATATGTTTTGTAAACCACTTTGCTTTTATCTTAACTGGAGAGTCTTCTGCAAAACATTTATCTTTAACATGACCATAACGAAATTTTAATATGCATGATTAATGGGGCAAATGAAATTAAAATCCTCCTACTATTCAGCATCTTATTTAAGAACAAAATGCTCACTATTTTCTAATTTCAGTGAGTAAGATCTCTGAATGCTGATGCTTTTTAATTAGGGAAGAAATTTTCTTTTAATTAAAAAAGAAGATTTTTATTTTGTTTTGTTTTAATTTCTCAGTAAGTTAGAGAGTGTCCTCTAGTGGAGAAAGAATCTCTGCTCCCAGCACTTTTAGAAATGGTCAAATGATCCCTAATTAGAAGGCTGCACTAAATCACAAGTGACCCTACTGCCCATTGGAATCCAATGGTTGAAGGGAAAGTGTATTATTTTTCCTCTAAGCGCCCCCCACACGCACATTGTAGTCTACCCGAAATCTTGCTGTGTGACAAGCATTGTTCTCATTTTAGATAGCAACTGATTATCTTATGATCCATTTTAGAGTGCTTCCTTTGGAACCGGGTAAGATTGAGCCGATGGTGCACCTTTCTGCAAAAAAAGGCAGCGGAAGCATTTAGTGCAATTTACTGTAGCTTTTACAGATATCAACTCGAGACAGCAAGAATACTATCATCTTCAAGACCCCAGCCCTGGCCGACTGATATATTTGATGTGTGCAGCTACCAAGGCCACAGCTTCAATTATTCTGTTATTATTTGAAGGAAAACCAAAAAAAAAACAAAGTTGAGAGGAAAATTAATGTGTCTTTCTCGGCTACGTAACTTGTGGAAAACTCATGTTCATTTCCCATATTTCTGGTGAAATGTAAACAGCATTAGCACGGTCCTTGGGCGTCAGAGGCGAGAGTGGAGGTGCCTTTGCAAGATCTAAACGGGTGAAGAGGAGCTGTAGCACTCGGCTCTCTGAACCGCGTGTTGGATTGCCTTCTCAGAAACTGCACCTTACAGCAAATTAGACACCAAAAGATAGAAAAGGTGGATAGTTTTTCTTGATAACAAGTGAAATCATTTGGACTTAAGCAGAGTAAAGATAAAAGTTTATTTCTGTTACTATATTTGAGAAAAGAAAAAAAGAGAGAGGAATAAAGACAGTGTTCGTAAAACCCTTCAGTAATCCAACAAGGGTCAGAGATATATCGCATGTGTATAAATATCGTGTGCTGCTTGTTTTAAAGGCAGTGATAAGCCATGAGGTAAGCATTGTATTCCTGTTAACAGATAATTTTCAGAACAAGGTACAATCATTGCTTTTGTACAGATATAAAAATTAACACTGTTAAATTCTGGCTCATATGGTATGAAGGGACCAGGCAGCTTATGACTGGTTTAAAGGTAACGTCAAAACAGCACATTTACACAGAGTGAAGGAGTGCCAAAGTGAATTCCAAGCAGAGAAAAAATTGATTTTTCTGTGGGTTGGTGGGGGAGCTAAGAGAGCATAGGGGGAATGGAGTTAATTAAATGACTACAAGACATGAGAGAATTTGCATATAGGTTACCTACAATTTATAAAGTGAAAAAATAGCTCTTAAACAGTGAAAGGGCTAGAATTGGATAACTCAAAAAGGTGTGTAATATATAAATGAGTAGCTTTCCACTGAAACACAGATTCTCTCCTACATTTTTGGGGAAAGAGAATATATTTCCGTAGCTTGGATGGGGTCATCAGTGACTCAGTTGTACATCCTACATCTCGTCTACACCAGCTACCTCTCTGCCCACCACTGTCATTATTATGATCAGTCTTCTTTCTCGGTCTCCCTGTCCTTGCTCCTGGCTTAAGGGTCCTGCCTGAATGTTTTTCAATCATGTTGCTTTTCTGAGCCCCAATTCCACTTTAAACAAAGTCCAAAGTAAAAAGAAATTGTTCCAGACAGTTAACTTGCATGAGAATCTCCTGGGAGTGCTTGTTAAGAATGGAATCC